AAAGTAATAGATGCAAATCAGAAGATGATGACAAGGAAGTGTTCGTTGAAGATAGGAAAGAAGAAGAAAATGACAGTGATGACTCGGACGTTGTCTTTTCTGAAAAATATGTTCCTTTGATTGACAGATTGAAGATGAGGCGACAATAGGTATGTGCTATTTTTATTACCGCTATACATATTTACTTTTTTGTACTGAATAATAAAAAAAAATCTTGCAATTACTTGATTGCTGGCAAATACAAATACCCACCTAAAAGACAATTATCCACTAATAGGTTCAATTTTCTTTTTGTAGCTTAGAAGGTAAAACTTTGTATTTAAGAGCATGTTACGTTTTAAATGAGATATAAAAATTTGTGCATACAAATAGTATTTTGAGATATTAAGTTGATATTTTATAAATTAAGCAATTACAAGAGTAAGATGTCTTTTTTCTCAATTTATACTGCTACAACTTTTGGAATAAACAAAAAATTATTTGCACTGCAAAATTTATTGCATTATATTTACATAGTGCTGTAAAACCTGCTCTTGTATACAAAAAATACTTATCACATTTTGTATTAACACATGGGTCACTCTTAAAAACAAAAAGCAAACTAAGAAAATAATATTTCACAAGTGGATGTTTAAGTTACAACATCGTGGTCTTATATACAGTAGTGTGAGCACTCTCTTGGCTACTCAAAAGCGGTGTCTCCCATTCTTGCTCATTCGAATCAAACTCATACAGTTTCATTATGTTACGATGAATTATTTCCTCTTGCTTTCTTTTAACCATTAAATAAACCTATTATTTCAATTAGTAATTTAAAACGAAATGTAAACGCTGTGTGTATTATCTAAAGACTACTCACCAATGCTGACAAAATTATCACAACGATTATAACAACAAGAGGTATGATAAGAAATTTTATATCTTCTTCTAAAATTGGTTCAGGTTGGGGTGGAATTGTTGTTGTGTCATTAGATACGAAAATATCCATAACGTTTCCATAAATACAACTCACAAACCAGTTTTAATATTACATTTATCTATAACTTTTAAAAACAAATATTCACTTAACATTTTGAGAAGTTGGTCTGCTAAAAATAATCACTACAAATGTTTATTGTTTTTAAATTACATAGTAAAAATTCCCTTTCAAGATATTCCATGTTAATAAATGAATGACTAATCAATTATTTATTTATTTGACCGAAAACAATCATTATTTATAATTTGGTGTTTTGATTTTGATTACCAAGAAGTTGGGTTAGATATTTTATAACAGTCGGTTGTTTTTTTTTTAGCAACGGTACATTTGCTAATATTCAGTTGGCAATTCTATGCCATAGAACTATAAGTATAGAATAGAACAGAACTAATGTTTTCGAGGAGAAAAATTTTTTTAGTTCTTCACGACTTGTTTTAATCCAGTAACTTTTCAATTGAGTACATACAGGAAAATGTACTCACTTCAAAAGGTTATTGCGTTAGCGAAACTACAGTTGTGATGAATAAAAATTTGGGAAAAATTTTAATTTTTGCTAATTAAATAATAAAGTTAACAAACGTTTAATAATACTGTTCATTATATTCGTAAACCTCTAACACCGTTGTCAGTTTATATTTATAATTAGTTTGTGTACTTTATTCTGAGATGTCTATATTCTTGCAGTGTTAAGTCGGGATCAATCAGAAGTACGGAAAGAGATAGAAACAAGAAGCTGTCCATTTGCAGTTTTTACAGTTTTTATTTTTTTCCAATATAAAGGATAGGAAAGAGTGGAGGTGCGTGTCCGACTAGTCGTAGGACTGACGACCTTATGATGATGATGAAGTGCACCGTCTAGATATTAATGTCAATAGAGAAATTAGTATTTTTACAAATGCGCCATCTATTGCCAAATGTCACAATCGCCCGTTTCGTTCAGTTCTGGGTGTTGTCAATTTCATGAAAAAATCGTAAGTTTTTAGTAAATTATGGTATTCTCATCGTTTAAATGCCATATAAACACAATGAAGAAATTACTTGGGGCGTTTTCGAATGTAAAATTGACGATTTTTGAAAGCTTTATAAGATAAAATTGGCATCTACGTCTCAAGTATGTGGTTTAAAATTTCATTAACAGTATCCCATAGGGCCTCTGTCTTAGAATATTTTTCATCGTCAGCCGATTTTACTAAATGAGAAGGAACATTTCTAGTATATTTAACAGGTTTTAATTTTTTATGTACTTGTGAAAAACCTGTCGAGAATAAATTTTGACATATCTATTCAGTGGCGTACGTGTCCTTTTACCGGAGGAACACATGCATGGACGTCTTCTAACTTGTATGTTTTATTTGCAGGCCTGCAGAACATCCAAGCAGCAGTGATATGTTTATTCCCACAAACGTTCCAATTCAAGTGCAGGGATCAATTATAAAAATCACCAGTGCAGTTACAATAAAAAATCGTAATAAATACACTTAGCCTTTTTCAAACTCAATATTGGAATTTATTTATTTAACTTGTGAACTCTGGGATCTTTAATTTACTTGCTTATTTTGAAATTCGAAAGTGATTTTTTAACTTATTTTTAGTGTTTTAAGTGTTAATTTAACCGGGAATTTTTCGTTACTCGAAAGTGAATTTTTGAACTCGATTTACAACTTCAATTCAGACTGGAACTGGAAAAAAGATATCCCACCTTTATACCACATGGTACTCGAAACAAGAGGTTTCAAAGTCTTTCCATTGCTGTAAAGAACAAACACCAACCTAATTATCAGGACAATTTACTAAAGACGGGGCAATCCTGCCCAAAATTTGAACAAGAAGTGTAAGTTATAAAATCTAATTTTTATTCTATATTATCTTTAAATTATTATTAATTCATTCATTATTTATTTTATTTATTTAAACTTCACATTCAATAGAGACAAAAAGTTGTCTGTTGAATAGATTTTAGTAAATTAATTGTATATATATCGAAAAGGTGCATGGTCAGTTGATTCATTTTTAAAATTGGAGCGTAATGATATAGATGAAAAAAATGGCTTAATTAAATTACATATGTTTAAATGAGTTAGTAATAATCTAATTGTTCCAGTCTGTTGAACTTGAGCTTATAATTTAAGCCTTTAAAGTACGATAAGTTTTTTTTTTCATGAAACCATAAATGTATGTATGTAAACAGTTATGTAAACATAATTTTTTCAACAAAAAATTTTCGTAAAGTGAAAGAGAAGATGGTGATTATATTATTTATTTAACTATTACGTATTATTATAATAGCTTTTGTACTCGACAATTCCTCATGATACATTATGTTCAAAAGTTAATTACTTAAAGAATAAATTAAATAATTATAATGGCATATAAACTGTAATATAAGGATTATTTTTAACTTTTTACTTGAAACGTTCGCCAATCAATGACAATGTGGTATTTACTTTAATTAATTGAGTATTATATATTGATTTAATTTTATTTATTATATTAGTGAAGTAAGTCCGACCATTCCACGCAAGGGTAGCAGTGGCAGTGGTAGCAGCAAGGGCAGTTTTCGTGGCGCTCTAAAGAATGCTAGTCCCAAGACAGTGACAGAGAAACGTGGTAAGGCGGTCTCGTTGACAAGGAATTTTTCCACATCATCGAGGAGGTCATGTGAAACTGGGGAGGACGTGGCCAGAGCTCTCAGCTCCCAGCCATCCTCCCCATCACCTCATATTTTAAAAGCACAGGTAATTATCATTCTATCTACTCACAATAACAAATAGGGAAGAAGAATTTATTAAATTGTGTTATGGTCTCCAATTAATTAATTCTGTTATTTTTTCAGGGAAGCAACAATTCTTGTTGTAACGTGATTTCGCTAAAGACTGATAATAAGAAACAACAGGGGTGGGACCGATCACTGGAACCGACCAAAGAGGGCAAAGGAGGCAGCAGCGAGCGTCAGGTTGCCGTAACTTCCGGCGTCGCGCCTTTGTCAACTTGTACTGGTAGTAGAGAGAATGTACAATCGCAAACGAGCGTCGAAAAACCAAAACAACAGCAACAGCAGCAGAAGCTCTCGCCGTCCCACACGTCAGTCGATCTTCACCGGAAACTCAGTTCGATCGAGTTCATCGACGATGATATCGACCAGGCGACGTCACCTCACGATGTGACGACGTCCGCCATTATCGACGACGGAAGACGTCACGTGAAAGGCTATCTGACCACTGACGACCCCGGAAGTAGCAGTCGTTGCTCGTCGTCTGGCGTCCCTTCCCGTTTATCGTCATCGACGCTGGGCATTAACAACAACAACAAGTACACGAATATTAACAAGAATAATAATCGTAATAGTAGTAATGGATCGACGAATAATAGTGATGGTAGTTGTGGTAATGGAGAAGCGAAAGCCAAAGCGCCGAAAATTACGGTCTCGAAACGAAAGAGTCGAAAAGAAAGGAAACGTGGGAGTGTCCTGTCTGTCGTCGATTCGGCGAGCGGAAACGACATGAACGACGACGAGAGGAAGTCAAGGTCGAGGAAAAAGGACGTCTCGACGCCTACGACGTCCGTCAAGACGAAAATCGTCGACACTGAGACCACCAAAATGGTCACCACGACCACGCAAGTCAACAGGTAAGAGTTAGTTTTATTTTTGATAGTACATGTGATTAGTATGGTTAATAATGGGTAAACTTTAAACCAGAGGGTTAGTGGAGGCTAAGTAACGTAGTCGCAGCTCCTTTTTAAGTTTAAGTTCCCCTTCCCCGTGGTTTAGAATTCGAGAACTTCTATTTTCATATTTGACTTGTAATTTATTTTTTTATTACAGGTACACGTGGACCCCAATTTCGGACAACGAAAGCACTAAAGAGGATAATATGGACAAAAAACCAGAAAAGAAATCGCGTACGAAAAGCTGTTCGTCGTTACTTGACGAGAAACTGGATATAATCGAAAAACTCGCCGTCTTCAGAAAGAGTTTCGACAACGTGCAGTTTTTCCGGGACGAGGGTCTTTTCTGTAACTCTACTGGGGGCGGCGGCTCATCCAAGAACTCCCCAACAGACGATGCTAGCCCCAAACCTCTCGATTCTTATTCGAAAGATGACTTGAAACCTGTAGCAACCAATTTTGTCGAAAACGTAGTCGGAACAGCTACCAAAATTGTTGAAACTGTTGCAGGACAACAAAATGACCCAATAATAAGACGAAAAAATATTGCGAAAGCGGTCAAGAGTGAAACACGTAAAAGGATAATAGGAAGCGAATCATCACAGTCGCCGAGAGTCAAATGCGAAATGGGAAACGTCAGCCTACCTACCATTCTGGTACCAGAACTGTCTAGGACACCATCTTCTGACCTTTTGACTGCGAAAAATTTTATCGAAGAGTACGAAGAGTATCACGCAAGCTGCTCAGAAATCGCCGACTCCGAAGCCGTCGCCGACTCTGAGGCCGCTGCTGATGAAATCTTGGCAGAGATTGCTGATAATGTCGACAAAATTGTCGCTGACAAGTAAGTAACTTTCTGTAGGCTTTCACGGGCGATGTGAACTTTTTTTCTCTCTTAAAAGACATAGGACTAAGAAGAAGAAAGACAAATGTGTAAAACACGGCGGTGTGACTCACTGCATCCCTATAGAGACTGATTCGAACGTGGACGATGACTCGGACTATCTGCCTAGCGAATTACAACTGGTTCCTTACGACTCAAAGTACAATCTACCTAAGAATCTGTTTAAAATCAATTCCAATGAAATGGTCGAAATAACCGACCAGAATATCGACATCTTGCATCAGAACGTCGAAATTGCCGAAAGCAATCCGGACATCATATCGCAGTCGCAGATAATAGTCCTCCCTCCTTCAGAATCTAAAGGACTTGCCGCTGAAGACGACGAAGATGTGTACAAACCAATCGCTGTCAGTCCGTGTGGACGCTTCTTTAAGTATGAGGAAGAGGTAAAGTTGTTACTCACTTTAGAACTTGTTTTAACAGGGAGGTTAGTCTCTCTCTATTAAAGAGTAAATTCAAAAGTCGGGGAATTATCAGGGATTTTATTTATGTATGGACTAGTTTTTGTACACTTGATATACAAGCATTAACACCAAATCGTAGGCGATTCCAATAATATAAACAAACATATCAATGGAAATTAAGTTGACCAGTGTTTTTTAATTTTATTTTTGCTGATTACAGATCGGCAGGGGCTCTTTTAAGACCGTTTACCGCGGTTTGGATACTCAAACAGGCGTTGCTGTTGCCTGGTGCGAATTACAAGAGAAGAAACTGAACAAAGTCGAAAGGGCACGCTTCAGAGAAGAAGCCGAAATGCTCAAAAAACTCCAACATCCTAACATCGTCCGTTTCTACAACTATTGGGAGTCCATCCTCAATAAAAAGAAGAGCATCGTCCTAGTAACGGAACTGATGCTAAGTGGTACCCTAAAGACGTACTTGAGACGATTTAAAAAAATTAATCCTAAGGTGCTAAAGTCTTGGTGTCGGCAGATACTAAAAGGATTGGCGTTCCTCCACTCGAGGTCGCCCCCCATTATACATCGCGATCTTAAATGTGATAACATTTTCATCACTGGCACGACAGGGTCCGTTAAGATAGGGGACTTGGGATTGGCCACACTGAAGAACAGGAGCTTCGCTAAATCTGTTATAGGTACCCCCGAATTCATGGCCCCCGAAATGTACGAAGAACATTACGACGAAGGCGTGGACGTTTACGCCTTTGGCATGTGCATGCTGGAGATGGCTACCAATGAGTATCCTTATTCTGAGTGCACAGGACCTGCTCAGATTTATAAAAAAGTCATATCGGTAAAGAAACACTATAATATGTGCTTTCCTATATGTATTTTATATCATCTTTAGGGTGTGAAACCTGCCAGTTTCGACAAGGTCGAGAACCCGGAAGTACGTGATGTGATAGAGAGTTGCATTCGACCCAGCAAGGAGGACAGACCGAGCGTTAAAGAGCTCCTCACGCATACTTTCTTCGAGGAAGACGTAGGACTAAAGGTGGAGGTCGTCTCACAAGACGGAAACAAAGTCGTGTTCCGCTTGCGAGTCATGGATCCCAAGAAACGAACACACAAACACAAGGAGAACGAGGCAATACAATTCGAATTTGATATGCAAACCGATCGATATGATACGATTTCAGAAGAAATGGTGAGTAGAAACAAAGCCACATTTGCTTTTGAAATTAAATATACTTAGTTCATTCTCAAGTTACTCTGAAGTTAATAAATTGCTTTTTGTAAAAATGACTTGAATGTTGATCATCAGAGAAGTAATAATAATTTAATTCAAGTTAATAAAACCTTTACCCACAAATAGGCAAAGTCAGGCATAATCTTCGAAGACGATGCGAAGACCGTAGCTCGTTTGCTGAAGACTCAGATCACGCAAATAGAGAAAGAACGTAAAGAACAAGAGAAGCAACAGGAAGCGCTTCTACAACAACTGCAGTATCAGCAGTTCCTGCAGCAACAAGTTGAACAGGCGCAGAAACAAGCTCTCCAACAGTCCCTAATGCAACAGCAGCAGCAGCAGCAGCAACAGCAGCAGCAGCAACAACAACAACAACAACAGCAGCAGCAGCAGCAGCAGCAACAACAACCCCAGCAGCAGCAACAGCAGCAACAACCCCAGCAACAACAGCAGCAGCAGCAGCAGCAGCAACAACAACCCCAGCAGCAGCAACAGCAGCAACAACCCCAGCAGCAGCAGCAACAACAACAACAACAACCACCACCCCCACAGCAACAGGACCTTGTACAACAAGACGCAGGACAACAGACGTTGCAGCAAAGTTATCAGTCCCAACAACAACAACAACAGCAGCCGCAGCAACAGTCAAATGTCCCCCCTCAATATATTCGACAACAGAGTGCACCTGGCGAACAACAGCAGCCTCAACAACTCCCACAGCAGACTACACAACAGCCCGTTTATCAGCAGCAACTCTCTTTACAAGTTACTGGTAAGTAAATAACGGTCATTAAACATGTGAATCCGTTCTACTGCAAGTTCGTTTTATTAGGGAGTCAACCAAACGTCGGTCAACCTAATGATCAGGCCCTTTATCAGCGACAGATCTCAGCAGATGCGGCCCTACAGCAGCAACAGATCATCTACAAACAGCAGCCGCAGCAACAGTATGTCCAGCAGGGCTTCCTTAGCGGCGACAGCCAGCCCCAAAAGGCGGAGTTCTCCTCGCAGCAGTTGCAGCAACAATTTATGCAACAACAGGGACAGCAGCAGCAATCTACGCCACAAACTGATTTCCAACAACAACAACAACAACAAGGCCAAGTTCCCCCTGAATATTTACAAGTGCAAGATCAGCATAGGTTGTCGACCATTTCGCAACCGGAACTGATACAAAATTGTTCGCCTAAACAAGAACATCGCCTGAGTGTCGATAGTCAGCTCGATCAACAAAAAAGAAACATGCTGCAAGCTCAGCATATGGCATCCATGAGTTCGCAACCCACTATCCAGGAACAACAGAATGTCGTACAACAACAACACACTACATCGCTTCAAAATCTCGTCCAGGACCAGAACGTTGTAATGCAACAGGTTTCGCAGTCGACTGCCCTCTTCAACCAAAATGGTTCGAGCCAACCGAACCTCAATCAAGAACAGCAGATGCAACAACAACCTCACATTATTCCGCAACAACAACAGATGCCATCTATTGCTACTCAGCAAACGACCCAACAACAACAACAACAGTGTCCGATGATGCAATCTCAACAACCGAATCAAATGATATCTCAGCCGCAACAACATATTATATCCCAACAACAGCCTCAAATGATGTCCCAGCAGCCGCAGATGCCGCCTCAGCAGTACCAATCTCAACAGCAGCAACATCCTCAACCCCAAATGCAGCAGCCTCCTCAACCTCAAATGCAGCAGCCTCCTCAACCCCAAATGCAGCAGCCTCCTCAACCTCAAATGCAGCAGC